AGAGATGTTCTTTAATCTGCTACGTATAACCTGCCCTTCAAAATGCCATCTTCATACTCAAAATTCAAATCTGAAACCGACTCCGTCAACAATCTCTCAAATTCTTGAGAAATGGACCCCTAAATAATCTAAAACTGCCATAACTTTCTCATATAATGTCCGTTTTGTATTAAAATCTCACAGTATGTTTGTCTCATAATTGCTGATAGCCATGCCCAATTTCACGCTCCAATGGCTTTGCAAAACATAAATAGCGCCCTCTAAAGTTCTGGAAATTGGCTTTCTCTCTGTGGCCGTATCTCCATTATGGCTTGGCAGACCCGTACCTTTTTTTGGATTTAGATACCTGAGGATATGCCCTTTCCAGCCATATACAAAATTATATACCCTATCACTGACCAACTTTGCGAAAATTGCCCTCCAAATTCGCCATTTTCAAGAAAATTCCGAAATAACTTCAACTTGCTCTAAAATGGCGATCTTTATACCTACGTCGTTGAAACTTGGCAGACACATGTATCCATATACGTGACAACTGTCTGCCAAGTTTAGTAAATTTTAATAACGTCAGCGCAAAGTTATCGCCAAAAATGATGAATTTGCTATGCATTACATAATAGCGCCTTTAATGCGTGCAGTACATTGCGTGCAGATGACAATGGTGTCAAACTGACCGCAATGAAGTGCCCTTTCGAATGATACCAAGTATGGTATATGTTTACACAGAAAATTGTGAGTAAATCGCATTTGAACAAGGGTCACTATACGAATTCCGCCCGATTATAACACTTATCGGCCAAGACGTCATTTTTTCAGACTACTTTTCGCCCCCTAAACATCCTTTTTTTCCTTGAAAATTTGCAATGACATTCCGAGATGCAATACGCAGGGCACCTCTTGGCCGGATTTTTAAAATTGGTCAAGGGGGCCATTTAAGACGCCATTTTGTCCTTTAAATCTATTTTACATCACATGTTTCAATAGGATTATCATATAAAAAAAGAGAGTAGTTTACAATAACGACCATGAAATTCTCTTTCCAATGATACCATATACGGCCCATAAAGAGACATAAAGAGAGAGAAAAAAAACAATTTAACTCCGGTCATAATACAGATCCTGTACGTTTTCCGCCCATGCATTACACGCATTGTCTATGGGGGCAAATCGGGTTCACGCTTTTGACCCCTAGAACGATCTTGATTGCAATGACGAACATGCAACTAATCCCATTTGTTTTTGCACGTAGTGCTTGCGAGCCCTTTCTAGGTTCTTTCCCCTATCCCAATTTCTTTCAAACATCGTAGGCATAGTCACTACCATCCCATCAAGGTCATATTGAGGCCTTTCTTTCGCCCTACCTGTCTCCAATATTACAGAAGCTAAAGACTTCGTAGAAATTGCTCTGGATAGTCCGAGAGAAGCTCTTTCGTTCGACACGTAGAAACACGGCGTCATTGCACGCACATCGTTGTGACACGATTGCATTTCTAGTTGTATCATTGTTTTCTTGATTCTTCTAGCCATTTGTTTAAGCGAGTCAATGCAATCAATGTACAGTGCGTCCCAGAAAAAACGAAACCGAGAATTATTGACATTTGATCAATAACTTAATCACAATTATAATTGATAAATGACGCATATTTGGAAAGCTTAGATTATCCTCTTTCATTTGATGCAACTCCTTCGATACATATTTCACGCATGAGTGATTAAAATGTATTTGAAGAGAGGAAACCAAAGAGTCATTTGGTGGACGGTATCTGAGTTTCAAAGGGAAAATCACATTTCTAGAAAGTTGAGTTTCTGCCCTTTCATATGACACCTCAATCACGAAAAATAAGGTAGGAATAACAAAGTTCTGTATGTTTAAAGTATTGCTTGCATTTACATAATTTTATCAAACAAAATCGTTTCCACTGGCTGCCTGCCTTTAGCAACAAACGGAATTAAGAAAAGACTTAACTCCGTTTCGTTGACAATCGGCCATGCATGAAGTCTTTCGTCTACGGCCGATTGTCAACGAAACGGAGTTAAGTCCTTTGTCAATTCTGCTTATTGCTACGGCAGGCAGCCAGTGAAAACAAATACGTTTGATAGAATTATGAAAATGCAAGCACTACTTTAGACATACAGAACTTTGTCATTCCTTGCTCATGTTTCATGATTGAGGTGTCATATGAAAGGGCAGAAACTCAACTTTCTAGAAATGTGATTTTCTCTTTGAAGTTCAGATATCATCCGCCAAATGACTTGTGGGTTTCCTCTCTTCAAATTCATTTTAATCACTCATGCGTGAAATATGCATCAGATGATTTGCATCAAATGAAAGAGGAGGATCTAAGCTTTCCAAATATGTGTCATTTATTAATTATAAATGTGACTAAGTTATGATTAAACATCGATAATTCTCGGTTTTGTTTTTTCTGGGACGCACTGTATAATACAAGTTTCAACACGCAAGGAACAATGAGCACTTATGAACTTTGAATCCAATTCGCTGCAAAAAAAAAATAGAATCAAAGGTGATTTACGTTTTGATGCGCAGCTATAAATCTGAAGGAAACTTGCTCAGTAATCATAAGATAAGCAAAGTTGGCTACAAATTTTGAATCCATTGAGATTCATCCTTAAATCGAAAGTAAGACTGATTAGCAAGCAATGTAATGCATGCGATGTGAGAGCCTGAGCAGAGAAAAGAGCGTTGTACTCCCTGATGAGGTTTTTCAACCGTGAAAAAAGGAGATTATTCTGACTTGAGACTGGCCACCGGAGACCAAGCACCCGCTCAGACTTTATAATCTCTTCCCTGCTCTATTTCCTTCACACCAATATTATTGTTGAACCTCTTCTTTCCTCATACAGTTCTCCCCTTCTCAATGAATAGAATGCTTCTCTCTATGCTCTTCCCTCACCCGTCTGTCACTAATCTCATTCTTTCAGAAAGCTCTGACACTCATCTATCTTTCTCATTGCCTTTCAACTTTATCTCTCTATTTCTCTTCTACTGAAATCTGAGCCCATCATCACAGGCGACGTCGTAAAAAATTTGGTTTGAGAGTGCAAAATTTCCAGCACCAATAACCACACAGGTTATAAATAGCACCCTTTAAAGTTCTGAAAATGGCTGTATTTGTTTTACTGTAGCTCCATAATGCTCCATAATGTACCTTAATTTATATTTAGATACTGAAAGATATATCGTTTCAAGCCAAATAAAGAAATAAATACATGGTACCACTGACCGACTTCGCGAAAAATTGATTATTGATCAAGAAGATCATATTATGGATGAAATTTCCTGCCCATGCAGAAAAGGACCTCGAAGCGGCCAGTACATTGGTAATGAAGGAATGACGGGAGACTTTGCTGGTTCTGCATGAGCAGGGCGGTTCGCAGTGCCTCCAGAAGAAAATTGTTTAGGTTTTCTGAGCTCTGCTTAGGATATGGGCTAATGGGAGCAGGTATTGGTAATTCTTTCATTGAGTTGTTGGCTCCTGCCAGCACAGGCAGGGCCGAGATTAAGGCAGCCACAGGCAGGGCCGAGATTAACGCAGCCGGAACAGCAGGGGATGCACCCGTTGTCAAGTCGATGGCTGCTGTGGAAGTCTAAGACTAAGGTTAACCCGACGATTGCGAGGATAATTTTTAAGGAGTAACACTAGCACTGTGCTTAGTCTTTCCTCCATCCCCCCCCCCCTTTTGAATGGGCAGGAGAGGCGGCAGGAGCCTCAGAGGTGTCAGCCTCTTTCTCCCGGGGAGAGTGCCGCTATCTTCCTCTGATCATGGTGACGATTCTCGAGAAGAACACATGTTTAGTGATCAGGGTGGAAAAGAACAATCGTAAGAAAATCAAAAAAAAGTATGGGAAAATAAATTAAGTTATCTAAACTTCCTTGGGGAGAAACGTGAATTGACTACTGGTAGAAGAAAAGAGAATATATCTGCGCAGGCATGGTCATATATAGGGAATAAGGTGAGGGGTTTCCCAGCCGTTGCCGGAGCAACTAAGGTTCTAGAACTATTTCACCTACTTCAGGCAATTCTAATTGGCATTAGAATTGTAATTATGAAATAGAAATGCAAGTAAAGTGAGATGAAGTAGATCATGACCTCAAATATCACTAGTACACACTATGAACATGACGGACAAAGTAAGAGGACAAAATATACAGTTCCTCATTCTACCCTCAACAATTGCTGTGGTAGACATGTGTCACATGCATATTCACCTGTTCTACATATTTTTACATAATAGCAGTGAAGGGATGTTCCTTTGTCTACCACAGCAATTGTTGAGGGTAGAATGAGGAACCGTATATTCTTTGTCCGTCATGTTTATAGTGACATCACTATGAACATGACAGACAAAGAAAGCGGACAAAATATACAGTTCCTCAGGTAGACAAAGGAACATCCCTTCACTGCTATTATGTAAAAAGGTGAATATGCATGTGACACCTGTTCTACACATTTTCACATAATAGCAATGAAGGGATGTTCCTTTGTCTACCTGAGGAACTGTATATTTTGTCCGCTTTCTTTGTCAGTCACGTTCATAGTGCATGTAGGTTCCCTGAATGCATGTATGATCATCTTTGGCCACAATGGGAATAATGATTAAAGAGTCTTGCAGGTTACCTAAACATTTGTAACAGAAGACAGACTGAAATATCTTCAGAATATGTCAATCTGCAAATATACACAGGCATGTGAATATGGTATGGGTGCTTTAAATGGTTAAGATAAAACTGGGGGGGGGGGGTCAATTTTTTCATACCATTTTGAACATTACACAGAAACTTCTTGCGTCAGTGTGCACATGTACAAGCATGAGTTTTCATACTAACTTCATCACTACATCTCATTTAAAAACTGTTCCAGCCCACCTGTATAGTTGTACATGTTTGACTTATTATAGTTTGTTTAATACAGAGTGCAAATATAACGGATACTGATCTAATCACATACTCTGACAGTAAGTAAATCCGGACACTTACCTCATTAAGAAAAGGGAAACAAGGTTCCTATTGCAATATTCTCTGTTAATCTTTTTAATGTAGCAGGAGCGAGTGTAATGGAGGCTAACTTTCACACCATACAGGCTTGTCGTAATATTCAGCTACCTGGTAAGAAGAGAGCAAATATACAACAACAAATTATTATTTTTAATTGTTCTTTAACATAGCATCTGTTCAACTATGGCATATTTAAAAGCAGTCAATGAAATTGCATAATGTTATTGTGAATCAAATAAGTCACCACACATCATGGTAACACTGTAATATTATGATTTTATCATAATTGAGATATGTATTGGCTTCCAAAGAATGAGTCATATTTGGCAGGGACACATATCAGAAGTGAAAAGGGGCATTCATAAGAAGGGGAATTGGCACTTATGAGAAAGGAAAGAGGGCATGTGTCCAAGTAAAAAGAGGCACTTATCAAAGGTTAAAACGGGGCACTTCTCATACCTAAAAAGGGCAGTCATCAGAGGTAAAAAGGGGGCATTTATAAGAAAGGGGAAGGGCACTTTATTACAAAAAGAAAAGGGGAAATTATCAGATGTGAAAGGGGCACTCATCAGAGGTGAAAAGTGGCAACTATAATTTAGCAGGGACGTGCACAAGTTCAAGATAAAAATACTGTGAAATATTGAGTTAGAAAGAAATTGTTATGAGAAAGTTAAAGCGATTTTTCGTACTAGGGGGTCAATTATGGTATCATTTAATTATTTTTAACAATTCTAAAAAAAATTGGACCATAAATGTGAGAGTATTAAGATGGCATTTTGAAGGGCAGGTTATATGTCGCAGATGAAACTTAAAAACTTATTCGTTCAACTGAGAGATCTTTTTTTGTAGAATTTAGTAAAACGGAGCTCTTAACCAGCGCAGCTGAATATATTTTGTATAAAAGCTGCGCTATATAAATTTAATATTATTATTATTATTATAAAAGAGCGACTCTTGGACTATCTAAGGAATAACTCTGTAGCATGTAGGATAGTGGAGGTAGGCAAAACAGACAAAATGTCAACTTGATGGTCATTAAGGCTGTGCATAACCGTGTAATAAGGTACTCGAGTACATTCCCAGGCTTACAGGCGAATACTCAAATACTGGGACGCCATGTTTTCGGGGGGGTTTTTAAATAATTTTTGTTAGAGTTGTTGATTTTTTGTTTGTTGCCACCACCATACTACGGGAGAAGCATCCCAAGTCCGTCTCCGAAAACTCACACGATTTTACTAGGAGTTGCAGTTGAAGGCACCGATTTAATAATAATAGTAAACAATGCATTTTTTAAAACAAAAGATGACAGAATAATCCATTTTCCTCCGAGTCCAAACAGAAATCCAAACATTTGGTCCCAGTTTCTGAGTGGTGAGTTGACAGTGATTGAGCTGAAAAACATTTTTACCCATGCCGGCGCTGCCTCCCAGGCACGGGTAAGCGTCTGCATGGACAGTGCCAGGCGCGGGCAACAAAAAAAAAAATGGCGGCCGAGTATTCGAGTATGAGAAATCATACTTAAGCAGTTGTTAACAGTGCAAGTAATCCTCGCAGCCTTAAATGCATGGGTGATTTTGGGAAAGGAAAGTACAGTGACCCCAATGGCATGCTAATGTATGTGCATACAAATTTGGAAAGGAATCGGGATAGAGGAAGGGACCTAATAAGGAATAATGAATACAATGTACAAAATGAATGAAATTTTTGGAAGAAGAAGAAAAATTCAGAATGCGCAAGATTACAAGGCATTGACAAAGGTGGCAATGCGAAGAAGCAGCATCCAGAAGCAAAATAAGTAGAAGGTATTGATGAGGGCAGCGTTAATTCCATGCTTATGGGCTTGCCAAAAATCTTATCAATTTGTCTAGCTCTGGGGATATATACTATGAAGAAAATGTATTTCACTTCTGTTGAACACATTAGGTAAAGTGACAACTATTTATTTGAGAAATATAATTAATATGTATATCTTTGTGTGAAGTACAAGATCGAAAAATAAAGAGATGTGGCATCTACATGTACTGCTAACTAATGACAATCAATTTTGAGGCTTGATACCCCTCCTCCCCCCCCCCCCCCCACCCACCCCCTGTTTACCCATTATCCAGAAGTTATGAAAAGTACATTGGCCTGACTGACAATGAGGGCTACTCCCCCATCCAACTCCCTCCCACACTGACCATGGTGATTATTGCAGAGGGGACAGGGACAAGGCCCCAAGCAGGTGCAAAGTCAGTCCTCTGATGCTTCATTAAATCAAAGAGAAGAAAATCAATGGCAGGTTGAGCGATGATGGAGGGGATTACTGTGCACAAGCTGACATTTCTCTATTCATAAAGCCATACAGAAAGCTTATGAACTATGAGCTATCAATTCATGCTTGTTCACCTTATTTAGAAAGGATATACACTGAAGCTCATTCCACACCTTTTTTCCCACAATGCAATCGCATGACCAGAACTCAACTGTATCTTTAATGAAAGAAAGAAAAAATTGCCAGTTTCTTTCAGCAAAATTATCAAACTGAGGAGCTTTCACTGATCTGATACATTAAATGATACCTTAAATGGACACTGATAATCACAGAATCAGGGCGCGTACAGCTTATCATACAGATGTCTTTAGGGATCTATCTGTATGCTATGGAGAATTAGAGCTCCAATGGATCATGGGATTAAATCATCCATATGACAAACAAGGTGAGATAAAAAGAGACAGTCTTTATACCAAAACAGAGATTAGACTGCAAGCTGCAGCCTGATTGCATATTCCGAGGTAACGAGATTGAATTAATTTGAAGCCTCATCATAATGTCGATGAAAGCTAATTCGGTATGGGCAGAAATGAGCCATGGATTGTGATGAAAAGTACTCATCAACCAAAGCGAGCACACTTTCTATAATTTCTAGAACTTTCTTCTATGCTTCAGAGGAAGTTTAGTTCTGGAAAAAAAAAATTATAATGTGGTGGTGAGCATTCTTTCTTATTACTATTAGTCCATGGTCACTTCGTAATAGTATTTACAATGCCAATTTATGAGGATTTTAAAAAATACACATTCCAGAAAAACAAGGTTATGAATGAAACAATGGGTCTGAATTCATTGTCAGGCATTTAACATTGAGGCTTTTGGTTTCTAATGACTTTTTATTGTTTTTAATCATTAATTTCAGAAATTATTTTACACAGCATTGTGAGTGATCATTACTAATCTATGTAAGAATTTTTTTTTTAATGCAGATGACTTTGAATTTTTGCGAAGAAATAGTGTATGAAAATACATATTTAAAGCAAAAATATGTCTTTAATTGCATTATATTGAAATACCCTCTATTATTAGCTCAAAACTACTTGAGAACCAATTAGTTTGTTTTAACCAATCTTGGATCAAGTGTGTAATTAAAATTAAAATTGAAATAGTTCATAACTAAAATTTCATTGCAGCCAAAGACAGAATTGCAAAATTAGTTTACAGGGTAAAAATACAAAACATGAACAGTCATGACAATCTTAATATATAGATACACAAACAATAATACAAGAACATTTTAAAGGTGAATTTGGAAGAAAGTGATGAAAATATGCATGTTTGCTATTGTTGGAATGCTTATGACATAAGGAATACAAATTTATTGATTGACTGATTAAAATTTGCATGTGTAGTTAAATTATTATTAGACTTAGAAAGATCAATAGTGTAAGCAGAGGAACCAGTTAATATTCTCGTTCGTAACATAGTATATGTGACATATTTCCGTGGACTGTTCCTAAACCCAGAAGTACAACGTATTATATCAATATAAATTAGTACACAAACATGGGTCATTTTTTTAGTAGATTTTGCCATTTTTGTGATATTAAATGAAGTGTTTTATTGAACTTACAATAAAGTAATAAACATTCTTTCAATTATACAAGCATTGGCTACTTCACGATGTTTGGTTTCCTTGTAATATTGACGTTTGGTACTGTAAAATTGATCGCTTGCAGATCCTGACACACAAGCTTCGACTATGTTTTGTTTTGATAATTAGCGTAACTTGAATTTCGCAGCACAGGGAAAACTAGCGATAGCTCAGCTCAGCCATTCGTAGTGCAGTGTCCACTGTGTTTCGGTGTATTGCAGGCTTTGCAGCGTGACATTTTTTGGAGATAATACTTGTTTTTCTCGGGTTATAAATTAGCTGAAACGTCTGTCAATCAAACAAATTAAGCAAGGAGACCGCGATCAGAATGCAGGTGAACTAAAACGGTTGTTTTCCTCTGCTTGTAATTTCTACTCGTCTAGTTGAAATGTCCGCTGATCAAAAAAAAATCAGCAGAGACGGCGCGGTAGTGCGGTACTTTCTCTTCGACATGCATGTTGAATCGACGATACAACAGGGAAGAATCGTCGGAATAGGATGATCGAGAATCACCCCCTTTTCCCCATCGAAGACTTCTTCAAATTATAATTTCAATTGGCCAGCCAGATGCTCAGAGATGTTGAGCAACCTAGTAAGTCAAAATTGTAATTACTCCCTTTGCATATTTTGAGATAATGTCGCCCAACCCGCTGTTTGAATGTTTCCCTATGCACCCGCTGAACGGCCGCTGAAGCTCCGACGCCCCTTTGGCGTCGGCGTTGGAGCTTCCTGGAGTAGCTGCAGCTGCAACTCCCGCATCACGATTTGATCAGCATTTACATTTTCGTCATCTTTAAATTCGCCCAATTCACCATCATCTTCACTTTCTATACCATCATCACTGCTTCTAACTTCTTTTTCATCATACTCCAAGATCATTTTGAGTTCATCTGAGCTGTCTTCTGTCATTTTTACTGATGATTAATATCCTGATATAATGTCTATACTTTCACTCTGATATGTACCCTGCAGTGTTATCTGATTGCGAAAAGAATGCGCGCGGTGACCATGTCATGAATACTCCACGGAATGACGTCACATGCCCAAACCTCCTAATGGTATCATAGACGAAATTCTTTCAGAAAAACTTGATTCTCGTAACTTCATTCCATTATATCTTGTTCCCCTTATGTTTATTGACAATGAACTTAAATACAAAAATAAAGAACTGAAAATAACCTTTCTAACGATACCTAATTCAAT